TTCCTTCAGTTGCTTTCTTGGGTTCCTAAATCTGGGTTGTTATTGAGTGACCTCCCAAAATGGTCATGCTGTTCCATGCCACCAGGCAGCGTGCAATCTGTAAATCTCTGTGTTCCCCTGGCCTCATTTTGTCTCCCCTTCTAGTCAGTGCTCAATTAGTTTCTTCAGCTCTACATTTGATGTTCTGGTATCCAAGGTCATAGTTGATGTCTGTTTTACTTAGTTTCTGAGTCTTCATTATCAGAGAGCTAGGTACATGTTTCTAAGGTGCAATATTGACCAGAAGTGTGTGCTTTTATTTTTCTAATTCCCGTTATTTCATTTAAAAATACTTTCTCTCAATTCTATGTTATTTGACTGCTAACCAGAAGGCTGGTGGTTCAAACCCACCAGCCACTCCTTGGAAGGAAGATTGGGCGATCTACTTCTATAGTGATACCGCCTCAGAAACCCAAGGAGGGGTTGCTATGCGTCGGATCCGACTCGATGGCAGTGTTTGGTTTTTGATTTTGTTGGAATAAGCTTGTATCTTGAAGTGCAGTGTATCCTTTGATGCTAGAATCATGTGAATGTTTCATCTCATTCAGATAAAAAGCAGTCAAGGAGTTTAGGTCCTCTTCTATTTCATAGATATGTTTTGTGTTTCTGCCTTCCTCTTCATTCCTTTTATCTCTTCCTTTGTATTCTTGTTTGTATTGGTAAGTTCTAAAACAACAGCATATGCTCATGCTCAGGTGTTTTGTACGCTATTGGGATACAAACATAAATACACCCACCTAGAGTGAGATTGTTGTGTTTAATTTCTTTCTGGCTTAACTCATACCTTAAAATTTGTAATCATGAGCATCTATTGCTATTTATGATACAAAAACCATACATTAATGCTCGTCAGTAGAATCATTAGTTAACAAAAACCCCAACTGAACTTTCTTTCACAGATTCATTCCTTTATTCTCCCTGATGGGGCTAGATAACCTCAAGTTTCTTTCAACTGGAAAAATTGTGATAATTTCTGTTACTGGATTTCTTTCTCTTTTCTTAATATGATCTAAAAGACCCAAGAATTATTGTTGTTGTTTGCCGTCGA